AAGATGAAAAATGAAGCATATCTGTACAGCAAAAACGGTAGCTAAGAAAAAACAAGGTCATTTTCAGATTCAGCGCCCTCAAATTAGACAAAAAAAAAAAAATAGAAAAAGATGTTCGGTGTCTCGAGAAACTTCTTTTTCTTTCCTCTTCTTCCTGCTCCTCCTCCCCATCTTCTTCCTCACTACCATATTCCCTTGTAGAACATAAAGCAATAGCCTCACCAAGCGAGTTTTTACTGGGTGGAGATGCCAATCCTACGCTTAATGGGTTTTTGATCTAAGAATATAATTCCCCTAAACTCGTTACCAACCTCCGCTAGAGATCCAAGTTTGACCTTTTATTTAACCCATAATTCGGGTTCGACGAGAAGAGATCGATTCATGCATTTTTCAAGGTTATTTTTCGAAAGTGAACCCAATAAATACGGTCCACCGATTTCACATTCCGCACATGTGCGCATCCATCATTTCTTTTTCGCACAAGCTAAAACAGGTATAGCGACTGAAGGAGATCCACTCAAGTTGAAAGCGATACCAACATGTGCTCGGCTGTTTCCCTTCGTCTTTCATCATCGCTGAATATCTTCAAGGACGGACTAAACACCTTGAAGAAGCCACGGTTAATTTCTTTTGGCTTGTGTACGACTTCAGCATTAACGTCAACCTCGGTTTCAAAGTTCAAATTTTTCTCAAAAGTCAATGCTTTTTTGTTCTTGTTGTTTTACTATATTGGTTGATGTGAACTGCATGTGGCTGGTAGATGTGGGCAGTCGTGAATGTAAATATTGAGAGATTTTATAGAGTGTACGTCGTTGAGGAAAACATTTGTTCAGGTTCATGAGCGTAGATTTTTTTTAAAAAGAGGGTTCTCAAACATTATACAAGTTCAAGGTTGCATATTGTTTGAAATGCAGTTTAATTTTTTGTTTGGTTTGGTTTGATGTGTTTTGGATTGTTTCGTTTACGGCATATCAATGTGTTATTTAATGCCGACGAGTTTTTTTTTTTTTTTTTTGCTGATAATATTTTCTTCAACACTGGTTTGGGAAGTGGTTACTGAAAATAAAGAATCTGAGGAAAAATTTTTTTAGGAAACTGGACAATAAAAGAACAAATTTGGTTTGGTTTGGTTTGGTTTGGTTAGGTTTACGTCATATCGACCTCAATGGGTTATTTAATGCCGACAAGATTTTTATTGCTGCTAATATTTTTTCTTCAAAAATGTATTACCAGCAATAAAAATCTTTTTTCGACAAAAATGTATTGCTGGTAATATTTTTTTCTCTTCAAAAATGTATTGCTGGTAATATTTTTTCGCTTCAAAAATGTATTGCTCGTAACATTTTTTTTTCAAAAATGTATTGCTGGTAATATTTTTTTCTCTTCAAAAATGTATTGCAGGTAATATTTTTTGTCTTCAAAAATGTATTGCTGATAATATTTTTTGTCTTCAAAAATGTATTGCTGGTAATATTTATTGTCTTCAAAAATGTATTGCAGGTAATATTTTTTGTCTTCAAAAATGTATTGCTGATAATATTTTTTGTCTTCAAAAATGTATTGCTGGTAATATTTATTGTCTTCAAAAATGTATTGCTGGTAATATTTTTTTTCAAAAATGTATTACTATTAATATTTTTTTCTCTTCAAAAATGTATTGCAGGTAATATTTTTGTCTTCAAAAATGTATTGCTTGTAATGTTTTTTGTCTTCAAAAATGTATTGCTTGTAATGTTTTTTGTCTTCAAAAATGTATTGCTGGTAATATTTTTTTTCAAAAATGTATTGTTGGTAATATTTTTTTCGAAAATATATTACTATTAATTTTTTTCTTCAAAAATGTATTGCTGGTAATATATTTTTTTTCAAAAATGTATTGCTGGTAATATTTTTTCCTTGGAAATGTATTACTGCTATTATTTTCTCCTTCAAAAATGTATTGCTGGTATTGTTTTTTCATAAAAAATGTATTGCTTGTATTAAAACCTATTTTTACACTTTCATTGTGATTTGACCACAGTTTGGGGTTTAACTATTTTCCCATAACTGGGACCCTAACAGGTGCTACTACCCCGGTCAGAATGGATCTGGGAACACCAGCAATTAAGAGGTGGTTACACGCTCCCCAAAGCTTCCTGATCAGAGGCCTTGCTGTTGGATGTAGTTTATCGTCTTACCATGGACACATAATTTGGGGTAGTCTTACCCCTCTGTAGAAGTGCAGTCAGCGTATTCTGAAGCTCCAGCAATTAGGGCGTTTATTTTTGTTAAAGTTAGAGAAATTTAAATTCTTGAAAAAGGGTTTGAGTAAGGTAGAAATGTGTGTAACTTAAAACTGGTCATTTGACGATATGTATCGGAAAAACTAGTTAATATAATATAAACGAAATATATATACCTACTTAGGACAAATATATATTGATACCTTTTAAAATTTGCCAATATATTCTTGATTATTTACGAACATATGCCATTTGATATAATATGGGATGAAATTCTGTTTATTCACATTTAAATGGCATATAGTTTCAGGTTTTCATCAAAGGCTCTACCTTCTCGCGACGATGTGTAAAAATCAGACACCACACACGTGCGTCTTAACACTCATTACATAACTTCCTGTTACCCGGTTGTCTTGTGTGTCTATGTGTATGTCCTAAGCTCAGTTATATTGACTTCCTGTTTATGTCAGTGAACCCACCTAATACTTTGTTGCACATTTCTTCAAACTGGTGACTGTGAGGTCAACTCCTGAGGCGCCTAGCTCCTTTGAGATTCTGATGCGACACCCAGTACAAAGTTTACTTACGTATCTAAATGTAAACCTATTACATATTGAGGTCGTCACAGGTCAACTCTTTTAGATTGAAGCCTCTGATGAGCTTTAAATTTCATTCGGACTTCTTGCACTTCTTGGTGTGAATTCACTTATCCTAACGCCAATTTGTTATAATTGGACTTATCCTTCTAAAATCCTCTAAAAGTTTGTAAATCTTCTTTCATAACACATAATCTTTCTTGCTGCATTCTCCTTCATTTCCGCAGCGTTTCAGCGACGATTTCAGCTTTCAAAAAAGGCCGAAAAATAAAATGGCAAAAAAATTAAAATTAAAATGAGTCTATCTCAAGCAAGGCAATAAAGCCACTAAGACACAAGAGGTTATTGCGTGTAGAAGAATTAGAAAACAGAAACAGTACTAAAGAATGAGAAAAAAAAGAAGAGTAATCAGGAAGAAAGTGGATAGCGATAGATGACGATTAAAGTTGACTAGAATACATGGAGCCGGAAGAGTGTTAGTTCCACAAGCGAGAAGTACGAGAAAAGAAACTGTCATCATAGAACTTACGGTTACATATAGTCAACTCAAATTTAAGTTAATGAGATCGCGCCGACAGTTTAGTACTGCGCTTAAATTCAAAATTCTATCTACCATGGTAAAGAGCTTATCCCAGCAGTTGCCATAAAAGTACTTATAAAAAAATTACAGGAAGCAGATTTACGCCGTTGAGAAAGGGACTGAATACAAGATACCAGATCAGGACTTATAATATTGCTGATTCTTTTTGGATTTTATCAGGGATGTCTAGATATATAGCGAGAACAGTGGACTATATGTGGCAGCAATGGTCTAAGCATGGACAAATGGTAGACATAGATATCTAAGATAGATTCCGGAGAGTAAAAAATGTCTAGACTAGCTCAGTGAATCAACTTTCTTAGAAGCTGACCTAGCAATGGATTCAATATAGTCTTTCCACTTCATATCAGTATCTTTGTTACGAATTTAAGAGCAGTACTAGATTGGCAGATAGGTCTCATCATTTTACAATTGAAACGGCTAGATGTAACCGCAAGTTCTATGCTAACAGTTTCTTCTTTCGCACTTCTCGTTTGTGAAATTGTCTTCCTGTTTCTTGCTTCTAAGTCAACTTTGATCTTCAAAAATTTAAATGCAACGTCAATCGTTATCATCTGTAATCTTGAATCCTGTACTTTTATTGTTCACTCTCATTAATAATTGTTTTTTTTTTTATCTTTATTATATTCTCTAACATTGGGTAATCCCTTGCGTCTTAGTGGCTTTATTGCCTTGCTTTAGGTGAAATGATTAAAAGAAGAACATGAAAGAAAAAATAATCTGATCGTTCGGTTATTGTGAATGTAATGTTTTACACTGCTGACTGAGTAACACCATCGCAGAGTCTCTGTTCATATAGACTCAGTAACGCCGCCTCTGACTGGTTGCAAAGCTATAAAAAGACCGCACAGATATTTCTAGAAATATTTAAAATGTCTAGATACTTTCAAGATAGATCGTGGCGGTGATATATGAACTGTTTTTAAGTTGTTACTTATATACTATCTATGCATTTTGGTTCTTTTTCATTTAGCTGTTTTTGGCTAACAGTGCGGTCTTAGAGGCCCATCTGGGGTGAACAGATGGGCTGCTTGTCGCCAGCATCTCATTAACAGAAACTAGCTTCACTTTATAGGAAATGTAATAGAATGAATAAAAATATAAAGAAAACTAGAGACAAAGAGAATAAAAGCGGAAGAATAACAAATAAAAAAAAAGAAACAAGGGATAGACATATAGAGAGTTTGTGGGGACGTAAACAGTGAGAGAGGAGAAAGAAAAGCTAGAAAGAGAGAAAATAGAGGAAGGGGTGAAGGGGGAATAAAAAGAGGGGAAATTGTGGAAAAGAAAGAAGAATGAAGTTAACGTTTTAAAAATAAAAATAGAAGCTAGAAACGAAAAACAGAGATAGAAAAAAACTGTATCAAGTAAGAAAATCTTCTCCCTTTTCCCGCCATTTTTTTTTTTTTTTTAGCGATGGTTCTCTTTCCTTAGAGTATGCCTGGTTCCTGTGAGTCTGTTTCTCAATCACTATCATTCCATTTGCACTAACAGGGTAGGGGTCAGTGGGCATACTCCGACGCCTGCGGTAATATGCCGATAGAAATTGGCAGTTTCTGCATGTAAGTCATATGCAAATGTATGTGGTTTCCGCGTTTCTTTTTTTTTTTTTTAAAGACGTTTTATGCTGCCTTTTCTTTGCATGGGTGAACGGATAAATAGAGAGACGAGGACGCACTCGGCGGTAATATTCTCGTTTTCCGGTTCTCGCCTCCAGCCCGAAACCTTCCGATCGACTCTTCTTTTACCGACTCTTATTGACGTCTTTCTGTTCCTGCTGTCATTTTGACTGACGTGATGAATTTCGGTGCATTTTCAGTAAAAAATTTTTTTCAAATTTTATTTTATAGGACTGATTCATTTTCAGTGAGATTTGCTTGCACTTTTCTGCACTACAGACGCATGCGGAAAGCATTCGCGCAGCGCAGATGTTATCAACCGAACGCATTGCCATGACTTTCGCACAAAGACAAAAATATAACTCCATATCTTATTCTCCCCAGCTATGGGTTAAATAGTCTTACTTGGAAAGTAGTATAGGAGAAAGAATAATCCGAATTCAAACCCGACTGGATTTAAAATGGTAACTCCTGGCTGTAAAAGCAGACTTCCAACCTTGTCCAAATTAATTGAAACAAAACGAATAATACCGCTATTTTTTTTTACTTTTTTTCTTATTTTCCCAATGAAACATGACCCAATACACATTTTAGTACTTCGTATGTCGATTCCATGAAGTCGTTCCTTGCAGACTAACCACAGATTCTCAATTGGATTTAAATCAGGAGAGTTTCCGAGCCAGTCTATAGAATTTTGATTTGCTCACTGGTAAGGCTTGCCAGTCTTGTTCGTGCAGCGTTACAAATTTCGTACGTTTCCTTTGACTAAAGTCCATCGCAGAGAATAGCCATAAGACAACTAATCGACAGTAGAGACAATAGTTTCTGGGTGTAATAAATATGTGATGCAATCACGGATGACGCAATATTTTTCAAGGCCAAACAAATTTCATCCTAGACCCCGAAAATAGATTCATATTACTGCACACCACTGCAAATGACTTAATCTGAGAAAAAAATAGAATTCGATTACACAGTGTCACTCCAGTTGTCTAAAACGTATAGTGAAAGAAAGGAAACTAAAGCGGTTGTTTTATTTAATTTGCACAAAGGTGCACTTCGGAAATCACAGTATTATTATTGCTGCCACATCTGGTTTAGTTCTCTTTTAAAAATTTCTTTCGTTTTTTTTTTATTAACAGTAAAAATGATTAATTTATGAATCTGAAAAAAGTAAGGATAATAAAATAAAAATAAAATAAATTCAAGAATAATTAAAATAAATAATAAACAGTAAAAACACCAAAAATAGTCCAATATTTGGGATAAGGATGGAGACATTTTACAGTAGATTGATACACTGTCTAGACATAAAATCTTATGGCCACATCAATTAATGCGCCACCCGTGAAGTATAAATTTTAGGAATAAGTTATGCAAATTAAAGTGTGAAATTAGGTAATATAACAGTCGAATATTGTCTGCATTAATCCTGCCAATGGCACCAACATAAAGATGCCAGAATTTTTCTCGACAGAATTTATCTTACAGCGTAAAAATGCCAGAATTTTTACTGCCAGTATCTATCTTACAATATAAGATGCCAGAACTTTTATAGCCAGATTTTATCTTACAAGATAAAGATGCTATAATTTTTCTCGCCAAAATCTATCTTACAGCATCAAGAGGCCAGAATTTTTCTCGACAGAATTTATCTTACAGCTTAAAGATGCCAGATTTTTTATCGCCAGTATCTATCTTACAATATAAGATGCCAGAATTTTTATCTCCAGAATCTATCTTGCACCATAAATATGCGAGAATTTTTCTCGACAGAATTTATCTTACAACATAATGTTGCCAGAAATTTATCGCCACTATCTTTCAACATAAAAATGCCAGACTTTTTCACGCCAGATTCAATCTTACAACATAAAGATGCCAGAATTTTTCTCGCCAGAACCTATCTTTCAACAAAAAGATGCCAGAATTTTTGACGTCAGTTTCTATCTTACAATATAAAGGTGCCAGATTTTTCTCTCGCCACAATGTATCTTACAGATTTATTTGATTATTACTTTCATGTCTGTTGTAGTGTTCCTGATTTGTATTTTGGAATTCTTGAGAAAATCCAAAGAAGAAAATGGAATGTCACTGCTCCTCACCTGGCATCTAAGTTTCATTCACTTTCTCACCGCCATAATGTAACTTCGCTCTGGCTTTTCTAAAAATATTTTCATGGTAATTGCTCTGATGAACTTTTTATGGTATCTTGACTTTATGAAATTAAGCGTCGTACTTGATTGGCGGTAAGGTCTCATCAATTTAGATTGGACATGTGTAAATGCAACTGTAACTTCTATGCTAATAATTTCTTCTGTCGCACTTCTTTCTTGTGGAACTCTCTTCCGGCTTCTTTCTTCCCAATCAACTTCGAGCTTCAAAAATAAAAATCGTTATCTTCTGTCTTCTTAATTTTTGTTCGTTTTTTTAAAATAAAAGTATATTTAAAAAAAATTACAAAATATTCTTTGTCTTGTCTTCCCCTTCTTAGCGTTTTTTTCTCTTATTATCTAAGATTCAGTAACCCCTTTGCGTCTTGGTGACTTTATTGCCTTGCTTAGGTTGAAATGATAAAAAAGCAACATAGAAATGGCGATGCAATGAACTTATAATCCATAGAAAGCAGGATGTTGATTTTAGCATTAAAGTACTTGCTTGAACAGAAATAGATGATGAAGAATCTAAAACCAATTTTAATACAGTATCTTCCCTTTTTTTAAATGCTCGGTTTACACAAGATCGACTTTACAAGAGAAGCAGTTTTACCTCGTTATACAAAATGGCGTAAACTGAAGAAAGAATTACTATTAATTTAAACTAGAAATTATTTTTTCCGTTCTCAGATTCCAAATATAGCATTTTCTATGCCAAATGTCGATGTTCACCGTCTGCTATGGCTGATGGCTAAGGCTGCTTACTTCGCCACTTAGCTTCACGCATTTCTCCTAACGTCCGATCCTTTGTAGATTCTCAAAGCATCCTGTAAAACTACCCTAAACATATGTGCCCTTTCCACGTTAAAGTCATACATTTCTGAAATCCTTCTTATACTGTCATATGCAGTGAAAAACTTGCGCAAAATTATTTGGGAGGTCTGGCAAGGCTAATAAAGGATTCTAGGATAAATTAATGATAAATGATTGTTCGCTTTATGCCATGTCGGCTTACCAAAGAATTAATCTGAACATGCTAGTTTCGGAATGCCGGGTGAATCTGAGAGAACAGGGGTAGAATTTTATCAAGCAAACACATTGATAATTACCTATAGAGCGACTGGAGTTTATTAAACAGACCCATCTAAAGGTTGATTTGTTGTAGTGATTACATTTATTAAACAATCTTTCTCTCTCTCTCTCTCTCTCTCTCTCTCTGAACAATCTACCTCAGTCCACTTCCTAATATCTATCTATCTATCTATCTATCTATCTATCTATCTATCTATCTATCTATCTACCAGTCTGTTCATTATCTATCTATCTATCTATCTATCTATCTATCTATCTATCTATCTATCTATCTATCTATCTATTCTTGTCTCATTCTGTTCATATCTATCTATCTATCTATCTATCTATCTATCTATCTATCTATCTATCTATCTATCTATCAGTCTGTTCATTATCTATCTATCTATCTATCTATCTATCTATCTATCTATCTATCTGTTCTTGTCTCATTCTGTTCATATCTATCTATCTATCTATCTATCTATCTATCTGTTCATTATCTATCTATCTATCTATCTATCTATCTATCTATCTATCTGTTCTTGTCTCATTCTGTTCACATCTATCTATCTATCTATCTATCTATCTATCTATTCTATCTATCATTCATCTATCTATCTATCTATCTATCTATGGTATCACAATCATATCTATCTATCTAAACATCTATCTATCTATCTATCTATGCTATCACAATCATACGCCAAACAGAAGCCACGTAAAACGACATTTAATAGTGCCTAATAAATCCGTTGTTATTAAAGGTTCGTTATTCAAAGTATGTTAATCGGAATTACGATAACTGTTCGAATCCGTTTTATGCTAAGCAAATAATTAGATTTACAAAGACACGAATGAGTAAATTTGCTACTTAGTTCATGACAAACGATTGCCTCCCTCCAGATATTCTTTTAGTGGGTCAACTATGGATGATAGAACACGCACCACGACGACGACCACGACGGTAACTATGGGTTACGCTCTATCAACAACTGATGGGATTCTCTCTAAAAATATATTAGCCTCTCTTGGAAGCGTTGAAATTTTCATTTAGGAGCATTACGAGGAAAACCGAGAAGTTTCTGCTTTTAAAATCTGATGTTGTTGATTGTTTATTCCGTTTAGTGATACAAGGCATTCTAAGATGGGAAAATGGAGGTAAGAAAAAGAGACAAAACGAAGAAGAGGTAGAAAAGAAAAAAAGAAGAAGAAGATAGAGGAAGAATAGAGGAAGGAGGTAAACAGAGAGTGAGGAAGAGAGAGAAAGAGAAAAAGGACGTGAAGACAGAGGAGTAGAAGTAAAAAAGAGCATAAAAGAAATAGACAAGAAGAAGAAGAAGAAGAAGAAGAAGAAGAAAGGGAGGAGGAAAGACTGCAGAGGAGAAGAAAGAGGATGAGTTGTAAAGTGAGGGGAAGTGAAGAAGAAGAAGAAGAAGAAGAAGAAGAAAAGGAGGAGGAAAGGAAGATGGGAGAAGAGGAGAAGAAAGGAGAAGAAAGGATGAGGAAAAGTGAAGGAAGAAGAAGAAGAAGAAGAAGAAGAAGAAGAAGAAGAAGAAAGGGAGGAGGAAAGACTGCAGAGGAGAAGAAAGAAGATAAGTTGTAAAGTGAGGGGAAGTGAAGAAGAAGAAGAAGAAGAAGAAGAAAAGAAGAAGAAAAAAGAAGAAGAAGAAGAAAGGAGGAGGAAAAGACTGCAGAGGAGAAGAAAAGGATGAGTCGTAAAAGAAGAAGAAGAAGAAGAAGAAGAAGAAGAAGAAGAAGAAGAAGAAGAAAGGGAGGAGGAAAGACTGCAGAGGAGAAGAAAGAGGATGAGTTGTAAAGTGAGGGGAAGTGAAGAAGAAGAAGAAGAAGAAAAGAAGAAAAAAGAAGAAGAAGAAAGGAGGAGGAAAGACTGGGAGGAGGAAAAGAAAAGGATGAGTCATTTTAAAAGTGAGGGGGAAGTGAAAAGAAGAAGAAGAAGAAGAAGAAGAAAAGAAGAAGAAAAAGAAGAAGAAGAAGAAAGGGAGGAGGAAAGACTGCAGAGGAGAAGAAAAAGGATGAGTCGTAAAAGAAGAAGAAGAAGCAGAAGAAGAAGAAGAAGAAGAAGAAGAAGAAGAAGAAGAAGAAGTAGAAGAAGAAAAAAAAAACAACCACAACAAAAACAACAAGAAAGTGTAAAAAAGGATGGCGATAGACAATACTGATTTTTAATAAGACATCACGTCGTTGTACTAAAAGACACCACTGGTGAATTTTTAAACGGGTGGGGCTTGCAGAATGGCTAGCATTCCGTGAACCAAGCCAACGATGGCGAAGTCTGTCTAATGAGAAGATGCTTAGGAACGATGGGTGGGTGGTCGATGATTTGCCAAATTTGGTTGGTAATAAAAACCTAAAGAAAGAGAAACCATGGCCATGTTGGGGAAAAAATATAAACTCGCCAATCCAAATCGTAATTACAAAAAGTAAAAAAGAATGCGAAAAAACGTACGAGGCAAGATAAAGTAAATGCGAACAAATAATAAAGAAAATAGATTAATTTAAGTGGAAAATACACAACAATAACAACAATAACTAGATAAGGGTGGCAGAGATTAGATTACAAGGCCGAAAGAAAAATATATATATATATATATATATATATATATATATATATATATATATATATATATATATATATATAGATAAAATATATATATATATATATATATTTAGATAAAATTCAACGATAATTGACTGAGAAACAAGAAAGGGAGAAAGAGAATTGATTTGACAGACAAATTAAAAATGAAGAAGAATAGGACTGAGGAAAGGAAGGAAAAGAAGAGAAATGAAGGAAATAAGAGAAAAGATTTTATCGGTCTCGCGAAATAAAATATTACCATGGATTTCTGAAGTCTCCCATTTGTTAATTAATTATTACTTGCTCTGGGATTTATATCTCCCTGGAATTATCCACACGGATGACGATTTAACTTTATCATAATATACATACATACATACACACACACACACACACACACACACATATATATATATATATATATATATATATATATATATATATATATATATATTTTCAGAGCAACATTTGATCTTAACGTTTATTCCAACTTAATTTCAATAAAAACAAAATAAATAGAATAACATATGTATTTTTTCTTTTTTCCTCGGTAATTTTATAATTTTAAACGTAATATAGATTAAATTTAAATTTTGTGGGTAAATGTGTAATTTTTAATTTGTAATTTCAAATTTTATTCTACTATTTAATATTTATTAGTTATAATAAATTCCATTTTAGTCTAACCCCAACATTAAAGGATTAAATAGTTATTATAACCTTAGTTCGTTGTCAAGTTTTTTGAATTCTCATATACTTGTATTTTGATTGGTCATTCCAGCTTATGTAACAGCGTTTCCCCTTGCGAGGGGTGTTTGATTGATTTGAACCTTTTAAAACCCTTTTAACACCATCACTTGGTAAAGACACCAGAAATGTTGAAACAAAATGGCTATTTTTGTAGTGATTTTATAACATATTTATGTTATAATTTTCGAAAAATTATATATATATATAAAATCATATATATATATATATATATATATATATATATATTACTCATTTCGTAAAAAAGACTCTCCAAACCATACTGAGTTACTTCCCTTAAACGGTTTCCTCAATCACGCACTGACTCAGCGTTCCTCACTCCATTTGTGAGAAATTTAACTTTCAGATAACACCAAAATTTGCCTCTGACAATAATGAATACTGTAATATTTATTTTATTATAAACAATACCCTGATGATGAAGTGGATATGTCGAATGTACTTGGAAGTAAAACAAATATGTATAAAATCGCCGATTTTCCATCTTCCTTTAATAATGTTATCAAAAAACTTATCCGCGAGTATGGAAGGATCTTATCCATAATAAGTAGATAGAACATGCCTAAACTATACAACGAAACATGCCTTAGCATATATATATATATATATATATATATATATATATATATATATATATATATATATATATATATATATATATATAGAGAGAGAGAGAGGTGTGTGTGTGTGTGTGTGTGTGTGTGTGTGTGTGTGTGTGTGTGCACATATAGAAAAAATAGGAAAGAACACGTTAGGTAAATAATCTAGAGTTCTTTAGTATTTTTGTTTTTATTTAAAAAAAAAATGTGCTCGATACAAAAGTAGAGCCTAAATTATAATTATTTTTTTTAAATATCATTCCTTCGCTACATAAGAGTTCTCGTGTTTCAAAAACAGGAGCCAAAAATTTCAATATAATTATTAAAATAAAATTGAATTAATGTATCAAGCTCTGTTTCATCCTCAAGCGAAAATTTTTGGAATAACCAATTTTGAAGTTTACGCATCTTTATAATCATATTCATTCGTAAAATGAATTACTATGGAAACGGCTGAAGCAATCATTTTGATAAGGGATCAAAATGGTTGCTTCAGCCGTTTTCTGCTATAGAAGGCTTTACTAAAACAAGTCGGCTGTTTTGTCTTTTGATGAGATATTTTGCAATTTGTTAGTTTCGAGAACTTCTCAGCCCTCCACAGACTCACTGTGCTGAAACATTCGAGATGTTCGAATAGATTGACCAATCCATGTTTCTGTTGAAAGACCATGTGAACCAGTAATGCTGTACCCCGTGGACAAGCTCATCATTTTTTGGAACCACTTTACTAAGAAACGCAGTCACTTATTTCTATCATTTTTAAAATTTTTTTTACATAAGAAATTTATTTTAAGTTCCTCAAACCTTGAAGCTAGATAGACATACAAACACTTTTTAAGTTGCCTTTGCCCTACGGTTAAAAAAAAAAAAAAAACATAAAATTAATCATCTGAAAATGTGAATTTGCATGCGAACCTTATCCTACATTAAAAGTTTTTTTCTTCGGTTGACCTAACCAACCGAGTACCCGGTGCTATCCGCAACGAATCGCGCAACGACACGAGGAAGACGTGTCGACCGAACCGAAAGGGACACGTAAGGAGAAATGGGAAAAAAAGCAGAACAGAAGATAAAAAGCCAAACCTACATCTGAGAAAGTAAATGGCAGAACGAAAATAATAATAATAATAATTACATGGCGTTAAAGCTAAAAAAAAAAAAAAAAAAAAATTTGTGTGATCTCGTAAAACGTACTCCGAGACCGTCAGCAGACAGGACAGATGTCACAGGGATATGCCCCACTTGTTTGATTTCAAAAAGAGGGTCCGTATTTACAGCAGGTGTCATGACGTGTAACGCCGAAGAGAAGACAGCAAAATACGAAAATATTCAGCGACTCCTAACAAAATTCCGATGCAAAATAAATGATAAAAAGGCTTAAAAAATTAAAATATCTATCTATCTATCTATCTATCTATCTATCTATCTATCTATCTATCTGTAGGTCTCTCTCTCTCTTTCTCTCTCTCTCTTCCTATATACCTCAGTCTGTTAAAATCTATCTATCTATCTATCTATCTATCTATCTATCTATCTATCTATCTCTATATATTTTTTGAATTTATATATATATATATATATATATAGAGATAGAGATATATAGAAAGATCACTTTAGGTAAATAATCTGAGAGTTCTTAGTATTTTTTAAATAACAGTAAATACAAAATTATCACTTTAGGTAAATAATTATAATAATTATTCTTATATATATTTTTTATAATATATATATATATATATATATATATATATATTTAAACTATATATACCTATATAAAT